ATTAACAGCTAAGGTAATTTAAGGACGTGTCTCCATGTTTGTATGGATGCGTGCTTGCGTGTTTGTGTGCAGGAGACAGGGTATGTTGGAATTGCATTTGTGTCCTTTACTTTGGGAAGAAAAAAGCGACCGGATTCAATTTACAGTACTCATTGCAATATTTGATATATTTATGTTTCTCTTAACTTCGTACTACATTATATTTCCTAGCGCCTTGCTTAGCAATACCGAACTTTTGGATTTAATGTTAAACGTTCGACAAAGTGAGAAAGGCCGGGACAAACCAAAGTCCCTGTCTTACGTAAAGCATTAAGGGTAATTGCATCAACGTTGACTTCTTCTCACTAAAATGTGACTGCAAGGAATGCTGTGCTTGGTGCCTTCGACATGGTATTTCAATGAGATAGCACTATTAAGTCGACATCAGACCCGCGCTATCCAAAGGAGGCAATTACACCAAGATATTATGTCTCCAACACACAAACATACATGCACTTAAATACCATGCCGAAGGCCCCAAAGGGTTGTTTGTGTGTACAGGGCTTAATGTCTTAGCAAAAGTCAAGATCATTTAAGGACGTGCCTACCTGTGTGTGTTTTGTATGCGTGAATGTGTGTACATTTGAAGGAACCCAAGGGGAACACTAAATGTTATAGTTATGAATCAGGTTATTATAACCACCGCACAACTACAAACAATTTGGACAAATCAGTCATCACTAATTTTCAGTTATTTGTTTCGGATTGAACGTTATAAAAAAAACCCAGGGTGAAATGAATACGGGTGACCAAACATAATAAGAAAGTATGTGGAGGAAAAACAAAGAAGTTGCAAGTGTTGAAATAGGGGTAGGCCATATCAGATCAATCTTGTTGTTTTTTAAGTCTCCTAAGCAAAACACTGAGGGAAATCCCTGGTCATTCAGGGGTGACGCATCTATCAATGCCATCCTTATCAATTATTACAGGTACGCGAATCAACGGTATATAAATCATCCAGCAGAAAAGAGGCCGGGGTGTTATTGTTAGGCTCAATATACATACAGCTTATAGGTGTAATGCTGAGTATCCAAATTGTTCCGATTGAATGCAACATGTTTGTAAACTTTCGTATTAAGATTTCTTCAATTAAACATATTTCAATATGTTTCTTTTTATTATCATTATAACAAGGAAAATAACTAAATGGACGTTACGTATACATATTTTATTAAAACGCTGATCAATGTCATTGTATTATGAAAAAAGGTTTCTAAATATTTAAGGTCTACTGTTCCGTTTACAGTTAAAGCCATGTATAAATTTCATTTGTGAGTGTGTTATACTAACTAACTGACATTGAAGAAAAGTGTAATTTTATTCTATACTCGGAATGACTAACGTTTGTAGGAGAACATAAATAACATTTAAGCAGGTCGATAGAGGGATTGTCAATGACATCGAAACTCATGTGTACTCGAACATCGACGGCATCTAGTGCAATTAAAATATATACCTATCGGCTATTCAAGTCTAAAAGCAACCGGTTATACAAAGAATGCTTTGAAATTTGCCGTTTATTATGATGAAAAACGAAATAAAAAGCATGAATACAACTCACGTCAAATCACAGTGCCAAACAATAAGGCGTATGTGAATAATGAAGTAGGGGGCAAAGCCGCCACAAGGACAGAGTTTAATCACCACTACATACTTCAATACGGTAAAGGACATGCCTAGTTCTTAAAAACGGTAGTCGCTAAACCCTGCCTAACGGTAAGCATTTAAGGTAATCAGAATGACTGGTTGTCAGTATAATGTGGACGGGTGTAATACTGTGCTGCCGTTGGTTTAACTTCATCAAATAGTTGATATATACAGGACACGTTTTTCCTAAGATTGAGGTATCAACACACGGGTACAGTGAGCTTCATTTTGATTCGACACTCTTCAATAGCAAGATGCACCTTTATACAAAACCTAGTTACCCCACGTAGAACAGAATATGCCATTGGACAAAATATTGGCCAACTTTAGTAAAAGGGGTCATTATTCTCATAGAATGGTCATCACAATATATTGATCGCAGGTACACAAATTCAGAGTGTGATGATTACATCAGCTAAGTTTCATGCGATTTTGTGTTGTTTCACGGCCCATAGACAACGCGAGTCATTTAGGGCCAAACAATAGTGTACAAATAGATAAAATTAATACATCAAACTAGAAATAAAAAAATGTCAAAAAGGTGTACAATTGTAATTGGTTATAAGATAGGAGATATTTACATAAAGATCAACTGAGTGAAAACTAGAACTGTTATCCAGAGGCTAACACAGATACCCTCGCATCCCACAATTAGAATAAAGGGAATATCTGTCCTCAATAAAAATGAAGAAATAAAAAGAAATATATATACACAGGAGCACAACTCCAATATGAAGTCAACCTGTCCGACAAATTCAGAACGAAATATAGTCCTTGGATGCACAACATGAGGCGGTAGTTACCATATCTGTAGTCTTTCGTTGAAATCGCCCCAGTAGTTTAGGAAGTTGTCCAGACAAGGAATTTTCAACAAATGGTCATAACTCCATAGAAAGTGTCAGATTCGAAACAAAACAAATACCTTGATACCTACATCAGGGGGTAGTTATGATATATGTAATGCTTCGTTGAAATTGGCCCAGCAGTTTTGAAAATCGGTGCAAAAGTTTAGGAGAAGTTGCCCGTAAAAGAATTTTTGGACGACAAGACGGTCACATAATTGGCATACCGAGAGACAGACAGGGTGATTCCAGTTTACCCCTCCCCGACTTCGTTGCGGGGGTATAATAATCACATCCTGATTGCATAGAAGCCGCTTCAAATACACATTCTATAGATAACTATACATTATAGATTCTGTCACGGTTTTGTTTAAAATCAGCACATTCAATCACAAAATGATCGACTGTAAATGGCTGATCGCATGCATAATAATAAAGCTGGTCTTTCTAAGGGATAGCCAGTTGGTACATTTTTCTATTTTTAATACCTAAATGCATATTTTACATTATTAAAATGACTGTTAAACTATTTATAATGATGTTGTTCTGTCAGATACAGTACTATTACACGTACGACGTTAATCAAATGGAGATGATCGGCGGTTAGAGTTCATCGATGATTTGACAGTTTTCAAAAACACAACTAGACTCTCCCTGTATTCATTTTGTTACAAAAAATGTTCCAGATAGGTGGTAACAGTTAACTGGTAATATGTAAAGCTGCTGTGTTTGCATATTATCTGCGCGTACAGCACGTACATGCATATGTACGCTACTCGATTAAGGTCGTTTCTATGAAAGCTTGGTATTTTATATTTTATTTTTATTAGCTCACCTGGTTCTTCCGTCCGTCCGATCGTCTGCCTTTCCTTTAAAACGATACTAGTACTAAACGGCCCTGTAGATTTTGACTTAATTTGATCTCGAGCATTCTTAGGCTTAGAACACTCAATATTGCTCAAATTGCAACAAACTTAAATCAGGAAAGGTAAATACGAAACCGTGATTATTCAAATTCCATTCCGTTATTTCACAGTTTGTCATCTTGCGCACACTACACATCATGTAACGTTGTGCGATCCAACATCTGTAACACACATGAATGTAATTGCACCTTTTATATCTGGTAATAGATACAGTGAGACAGAGATGAAGTACACTGCATCATACAGCTGTAATAAATACGTTTGACAAAATATTCTGGAGATGATTTATATTTGGACAGCGCATAACATCGAATGATAGGCAAGTAGTTTTAGAGAATATCTATCGCACCTTTTTAAGATATTATTATAATAATAATAATATACAGCATTTATATAGCGCCCTATATAATTTGTAAAATTACTCAAAGGCACTTTACAACATATGGATAATAGTAATGGTTATAATTGTGAAAACAAACACCAAAGGCTTGCAATCACTTTCATACATTTAACAAGTAATGTGCACATTATTGAACAAATAAAAGGGTGGTATTTACATAACGTCTTTGCAAACATTCTAAAATGCAGAGGTGAAGAGGTGAGTTCTTATGTCCCTCTTGAACTTGGCCAGGGTATTCGACTTCCTAATAGCAGATGGTAAGCTATTCCACAACGTAGCCGAAACCCTCCCAAAGCATTTGTTTCCGTAGGTCACAGTACGAGATTTTGGGACACACAACACATATTCTGACTCCGACCGCAGTGATCTTGACGGCTGATACAGGGTTACAAGTTCCTGGGTGTACTGAGGAACTGTTTGTTTGTTTGTTTGATTTTGTTTAACGTCCTATTAACAGCTAAGGTCATTTAAGGACGGCCTCTCCTGTGTGCAAGATGCATGCGTGTAGTGTATGTGTGTATATTTTGGGAGGCTGCGATACGTTCGTGTTTGTTTCCTTGTGATAGCGCGGAACTGATGCCGACTTTATAGTGCTACCTCACTGAAACATACTGCCGAAGACACCAAGCAGGACGCCCCACCCGATCACTGTTCCATTAAGTGCCTTGTATGTGTATACCAGCATTTTTCGTACTGCGACCCGCTAACAGACGGTCAGACAGTGCGATTCCAATTGACCCACTTCCCTAAATTCGTTGCGGGAGAATAATTATAGGTTCCACATTGAGGTACTCCTTATAATGTATCGTTAGGTGGGAACAGATTGTTCCAACTTTACCTCTCTTGGAGAGAAGATTAGATGTTAATATATTAGAGACTGTTCGTTTATGCAGAACACCCGGTACGTCCGTTTTTAAATGTAACATTCTGTAGTATAACTCCTGACGGATTTTCAAAGCCTAGTCCAACCGGTTCAACCGTTTGGAAGGCAATAAACGAAAGCGGTTCAAGTTTCTAAGTTGTATCATAAGTTTTTTTCTTAATTCGATATCAGATCGATGCTTATTCGTTAGACTGTACCAGGAAGTAGCTATTCTTAGTATATGACCTTTTATGTACATATATATTATAGCGTGCTGTTAAGCGGATCACATACCACACTTCACTTCTCGAGTTCGCCGTTCCCGGTATGTATACTTTTGCTTTTTGTAATGTAACCGACAATTGAATTGTAGTTGGGTATTACTTTACATACTATTTGTCATTTGAAGTTTGTACGTGTGCCTGCTGTTATTTTTCTACTCTATAATATGACAGGAAGATTTGTTTTTTGCTTCTTGCTGAAATTTGTTTCTTTACATGTAACTTACTTTAATTAATTTAATTATATGGTTTTCACAAAAACATTTAGAGTGTTGGCGTTTGTTAAGACTAAAATGCAGCATCCTGCACCAGACACATAGCCTTATATGTCCAACTGACCAATGCTAAGTCATACAGCAACTTTTTAAAGCAATGAGTAATAGTCACGTGTATTGTAAGAATCGCGGGTTTGATACACTGGCTGCATCTGTTTTACTCCTATCATCGAGCTGTGCAGATAATTATACACTCCATTCTCCCCTATTCAAGCCACCTTCACATATTTAATTTGGTGCTCTCAAACAACACTGAACATAGCAAAAGGGCCTTATCATTTCGGTGTAACTCAGCTCCTGTCCCCATTCGCAGTGGCAGCTGTAATACGTATATGTAGGGGTCGTACCACACTCTTCCGCTCTCAACATGAAATAGAATGGACCGTCGGAATTACAACATACGTCACAGGCGCTTTCACACAGTTAATACAGCCCTATAGTATAATGAATGTCAATAATATTTGCCATATTGGACACTATTGATAATGTATGCAAGTTTACGGCCGGGCCTACGCCACTTCACCGAGACTTATAGGTTAGGTTATGTGCAGTGTCTTAGAGTGTGCTGTCTTATCCTTATATTGCCAAACATTTTCATATGAATATATGCTACGAATCTTAACTAATTTGTTTGTTGCTGTTTCATAAATGGAGATTAAATAGTTATTTGTTATATTTCAAAATTCCACATACATGAACCTCGAGTTAATGGTTTAGCGATTACTACAGCGAAAAGGTAGGAAAAATGTGTTTAAAGTATCTGAAATGATTGCATGTATTTCTCTTACATTAAATATAGTCACGAATCTATCAAGTCTGAGCGCATGAGTCATACCTGTGTGAGGTGAAAATGTGTTATGCATGCTTGCATAATCTACGGTTTGAATTTTACATTTGTATAGAATACTGTTTAAGTAGTATTTTATTATACATTGTACCATAGTCGGCGTGTTTACACATAGATCCTAACAAACCACCCTTGGTATCGGCTATTATTCTATACCAGGAAGAAATCGATTACAATTGTTAAATAGAAAATGTCTTTGAATATCAATACATGCTACTAACTCATACAGGACAAATAAACGATATGGCCTCATAACCGATTTGAGACAACCTACGAATTATTATTTATTATCATTATTATTTAGATTAACATCTTTAGCCATGAAGGAAGGTTTTATTTGTTTGTTTTGGGTTTAAGTCCTCGCAACAGCCAGGATCAAGTGAGAACGGATGTCTAGGTGGACACCGCCTGAAACAGAAAGAAGTAGATGGAAAAGCAAAGGGAATAAGCGAAAAGTATGCTGCATACAATGTAAATTAATCGCAAACAGGTGATAACCCTTATACGTGTAATTTCCTCTCTTACCGTTTATTTGTACTTTTCCAGTTACTAGTTCAGAACAAAACAGCCCTGTTGTTTACGATGTTTCTGATAGAGCCTACTCTGTTACAAAACAGATTACCACACGCAGTGTACACGTTTCAACGAGGAATTACCCTCAAACGTTTATATTAAAACACATTGTGCCACAATCCGGATAATGTTGATTTCCAATTTCATTTAAAGGTGATCTGCAAAATATAGGACGCTGATGTAAAGCGATATTCAACCCCTGTAAATCACGGGGGTCATCCCGATACTCGCTATTTCGCTTACGTCAGAGTGATACTCCCTGTTTGGATTACGTCGTTTGTGCCCTATACTTTGGGTTGGTTTGGTTTAATTTTGTTTAACGTCCTATTAACAGCTAAGGCAATTTAAGGACGTGTCTCCATCTTTGTATGGATGCGTGCTTGCGTGTTTGTGTGCAGGAGACAGGGTATGTTGGATTTGCATTTGTGTCCTTTACTTTGAGAAGAAAAAAGCGACCGGATTCAATTTACAGTACTCATTGCAATATTTGATATATTTATGTTTCTCTTAACTTCGTACTACATTATATTTCCTAGCGCCTTGCTTAGCAATACCTAACTTTTTTGGTTTCAACCCCTGTCTAGGTGAGAAAGTGAGAAAGGCTGGGACAAAGCAAAGTCCTTGACAATGCTAGTTGTTTTTCCCTGTCTAACGTTTAGCAATAATGGTAATGGCATCAACGTTGACTTGTTCTCACTGAAATGTTACCGGAAGGAATGCTGTGCTTGGTGCCTTCGACATGGTATTTCAGTAAGATAGCACTATTAGGTCGACATCAGATCCGCGCTATTCCCAGGAGGCATTTACACCAAGATACCATGTCTCCAACACACAAACATACATGCACTTAAATACCATGCCGAAGGCACCAAATGGTTGGTTGTGTGTACAGGGCTTAACGTCCAAGCAAAAGTAAAGATCATTTATGGACGTGCCTACCTGTGTGTGTTGTGTATGCGTGAATGTGTGTACATTTAAAGGAACCCAAGGGAAACACTAAATGTAATAGTTATGAATCTAGTTATTATAACCACCGCACAACTACAAACAATTTGGACAAATCAGTCATCACTAATTTTCAGTTATTTGTTTCGGATTGAACGTTATAAAAAAAACCAAGGTGAAATGAATACGGGTGACCAAACATAATAAGAAAGTATGTGGAGGAAAAACAAAGAAGTTGCAAGTGTTGAAATAGGGGTAGGCCATATCAGATCAATCTTGTTGTTTTTTAAGTCTCCTAAGCAAAACACTGAGGGAAATCCCTGGTCATTCAGGAGTGACGCATCTATCAATGCCATCCTTATAAATTATTACAGGTACGCGAATCAACTGTATGTAAATCATCCAGTATAAAAGGCCGGGGTGTTATTGTTAGGCTCAATTTACATACAGCTGATAGGTGTAACGCTGAGTACTTCAATTGTTCCGATTGAATGCAACATGTTTGTAAACTTTCGTATTAAGATTTCTTCAATTAAACATATTTCAATATGTTTCTTTTTATTATCATTATAACAATGAAAATAACTACATGGACGTTACGTATACATATTTTATTAAAACGCTGATCAATGTCATTGTATTATAAAAAAAAAAGTTTCTAAATATTAAAGTTCTACTGTTCCATATACAGTTAAAGCCATGTATAAATTTCATTTGTGAGTGTGTTAAACTAACTTACAGACATTGAGGAAAAGTGTAATTTTATTCTATACTAGGAATGACTAACGTTTGTAGGAGAACATGAATAAAATTTAAGCAGGTCGATAGAGGGTTTATCAATGACATCGAAACTCATGTATACTCGAACACCGACGGCATCTAGTGCAATTAAAATATATACCTATCAGCTATACAAGTCTAAACGCAACCGGTTATACAAAAGAATGCTTTGAAATTTGCCGTTTATTATTATGAAAAACGAAATAAAAAGCATGAATACAACTCACGTCAAATCACATTTACTCAAATTACCTGAAGGCACAATGCCAAATTATAAGGCGTATTTGATTAATGAAGAAGGGGGCAAAACCGCCATAAGGACATAGTTTAATCACCATTACATAACTTCAATACTTGTTTGTTTGTTTGTTTGTTTGATTTTGTTTAACGTCCTATTAACAGCTAAGGTCATTTTAGGACGGCCTCCCCTGTGTGCAAGATGCATGCGTGTAGTGTATATGTGTGTATTTTGGGAGGCTGCGATATGTTCGTGTTTGTCTTCTTGTGATAGCGCGGAACTGATGCCGACTTTATAGTGCTACCTCACTGAAACATACTGCCGAAGACACTCAGCAGGACGCCCCACCCGGTCACATTATACTGACAACGGGCGAACCAGTCGTCCCACTCCTAATTTGCTGAGCGTTAAGCAGGAGTAGAAACTACCATTTTTAAAGACTTTGGTATGTCTCGGCCAGGGGACAGAACCCAAAGCCTTCCTCACAGGGGCGAACGCTCAACAAATGGCCAAAAGTGAGGCATTGTCAAGGGAGACATTAGGAAGAAGAAAGTTATTTAGAAAGGAGAGAAGAGATAAGGTCCCAAATTTAGTCGCCTCTTACGATCATGCAATTGGGGGCAGCAGGTACAATTCTTACGCCCTACCTGCAGGGTCAACGGTAAAGGACATGCCAATTTCTTAAAAACGGTAGTCGCTAAACCCAGCCTAACGTTTAGCATTTAAGGTAATCAGAATGACTGGTTGTCAGTATAATGTGGACGGGTGTAGTACTGTGCTTCCGTTGATTTATCTTCATCAAAGGACGCGCCTCGAAATAGTACTACCACACCGTTGTGTAACAGGTGCAATAGAATAGTTGATATATACAGGACATTTTTGTCTAAAGGTTAAGGTCTCAACATACGGGTACAGTGAGCTACATTTTGATTCGACACTCTTCAATCGCAAGATGCACTTGCATTCAGAACCTAGTTACCCCACGTAGAATAGAATGTATGGCACTGGACAAAATTGTGTCCGACTTCAGTAAAAAGGGGCATTATTCTCATAGAATGGTCATAACAAAACCACAAATTCAGAGTGTGGTGATTACATCAGCTAAGTTTCATGCGTTATTTTGTTTTTGATTTGTATTATTTCAAGCCCATCGACAATGCGAGTCATTTAGGGCCAAACAACAGTGTAAAAAGAAGAGAAAATTAATACATCAAATAAGAAATAAACAAGAGGCACAATGGGCCTGCATCGCTCACCTGGTACTGATGTATCAATCTCACATTTGTAATCTTCAAAGTGGGCTAAAATACAGCTACAGGCATAATATCAGTGTTTGATTCATAAGAACCCATTTAAAGATTTAAACATTTGATACCTTTGACCTTG